AAACTATTTTGTAGATAACAATATGTAAAACAATAACCATTGATAATTTCCTACCATTTTGTCTGTAATTTGCTAAGTCCCTCCTATTATTATGTTATCCTTTTTTTACTCTTTAAAATTAAAAAATAAATAAATAAATAAAAATGAGGTATATGGATAGGCCCTGATCCAGTATGACTAGTGCGCTTCTGAGAGGAGAACCCAGACACACACACACACACACACACACACACGAAAGATCATGTGATGACATAAAGAGAAAGTGGCTATGTGCAAACCAGTGAGAAAGGACTCAAAAGAAAGTCCTGCTGGGCGTGGTGGCACACACCTGTAAACCCAGCACTCAGGAGGCTGAGTTAGAATTGTGAGTTTGAGGCCAGCTTGAGCTACATAGTTCAAGGATGGCCTGAACTATACAGCAAGACCCTAAAATACATACATACATATAATTCTGCTGGCACTTTGACCTCAGACTTCCACCCTCCAGAATTGTAAGAAAGTAAATTTCAGTTGTTCAAAGCCACCTAGTCTGGAAGTTTGTTATGGTAGCCCTAGCAAGCTAATACAACTGCTGTGGATCAGAATTACCTTTACAAAAAGTCATGTTTGTGCCAGGCATGTTGGCACACACCTGTAATCCCAGCACTCGGGAGGCTGAGGCAGGAGGATTGTTGTAAGTTTGAGACCAGTCAGGGCTACAAAGTGAGCTCAAGGCCAGCCTGAACTGCATAGTGGGACCCTGTCTCAAGAAGACGCACACACACAAAAAGTCATGCTACTTTATCCCCTATAGGTTGGTTTTGCTTATATTTTGAGAATATAATGTTTCAGATTATCTTCTCTTGAATTTTGCCAGTATATGGAGTCCTGCTGACTAGCAATTATACCCCCTCCTTTGTTCTGTATTCCATTACACATAGTGGTAGGGCTTATACTTACAAAATACCATCTTTTTTGGGGGGATAGGGTCTCACTATATAGTTCAGGCTGACCTTGAACTTATTAGCCCATGCTGGCCATGAACTCATGGAAGTCCTACTTCAGCCTTTCAGGTGCTGGGATTATAGGTGTGTACCATCATGCCTGGCTCCAAAATACCATCTCTTGAGTTTGCTCAAAACTGGTGAAGTGGGGTGTGGTGGTGCATACTTGTAATCCCAGCACTCTGGAGGCTGAGGCAGGAGGATCATTGCAAGTTCAAGACCAGCCTGGGCTACAAAGTCAGCTCAAGGCCAGCCTGAACTGCATAGCAAAACCCTGTCTCCAAAAAACAAAGAACAGCTATTTGTTTGATACTTCTCAGTGTTGCTGATTTGGGTTATATGATTTGATTTTTACAAAAGAAGAAATTTGATCCTAAAATTTAAAAACCAGGGGCTGGGGATTTAGCTCAGCGGCACAGTGCCTGCCTGGCAAGTGCGAGGTCATGAGTTTGATTCCCGTACCAGAAAAAAACCAAACAACCAAATTAAATAAATAAATAAAAATAAAAACCATAACTTTGAAAATAGTTAGGATCCTGATTTCATACCATACCCAAAGCTTAATTCTAGATAAAGATTTAAATATGATAATCAAAACATTAAAATTTTTAGACTATCAGACTAGGCCTTCATTCAGGGGATGGAGGAGACAAATGGAGGAGAGAAAATGAAAGCACTATAAATGAAACACATACTTGCATGAAAATTTGATGAATAAATGGCTCAATAAAAGTGAGAAATCTAGATGCTATGTTTTTTTTTTGTTTTTTTTTTTTTGTTTTTCTCCGGTACCGGGAACCGAACTCACGACCTTGCGCTTGCCAGGCAGGCGCTTTGCCGCTGAGCTAAATCCCCAGCCCCTCTAGATGCTATGGAACTACATCTTGAACGCATAAAAACTGTGTCCAAACATACTATTATTCAAGTCACTGAGAAAACTTTAAGCTGGGTGTGGTGGCACATTTCTGTAATTCCAGCACTTGGGAGGCTGAGGCAGGAGGCTCTCTTTGAGTTCAAGGCCAGCATGAATTACAGAGTGAAACCCTGTTTCAAAAAAAAATCAAAAAAATGTGAGAATGATGACAGCTAATGTCTATAACAAAGAGGTCTTACAAATTAGAACTCTTCAAAGTAAAGGAATATGAAATGACAAATCAGATTGGTATTAGTTGGCTTGGAAAGCTTTTAGAGGACACTGAGTGGGAAAAATGCAGAAATGTAAAAAATCCTGTTTGTAAAGAACTTAATGACCCCCATCTCTGTGTGTGTGTGTGTAGTGGAAAGAAAATGTGCGAGAAAAGACCTGGGAGAAAGAATACAAGTAGAAAAGGGAAAAAAAAATAAAAGCTTCACACTCAGACTCCTCAGGTTGTGCATCAATTAATTTGGGGAAAAATCTGTGATGTACGTGTAAGTAAATAAAGCTACTGTTTTCATGTATGTTTAAATTCTTTTCCAGTACCAGGGCTTGCATATGCTAGGCATATGCTGTACCGCTGAGTTATATTCCCAACCCTTTTGTGATTCTCCTGCCTCAGCTTTCTGAGTAGTATGTGTATGTTTTTATAAATATGTCCATGTAATTTGTACGTAAGAGGGTAGATTGGATGGGAGCCTTCTCTTTTTTAAAAAACAACAACAGAAAACAAGGTTTCACTATGTAGCCCAGGCTAGGTTTGAACTTCAAAACTTCTTGCCCTAACCTAAATGCTGGGATTACAGGCATGTGCCACCATGCCTGGCTGAGTCTGCCTTCAGGACATCTTTGACTTAATTGTTTCATGTGCTGAAACAACAAAGCACTTGTTGAAAAACACCAAATTAAAAAAATCACAAAAAACAACATAAGCCCTTCTGTGTTATCTGTTTCATATTTTTCTTCCCATCTACCCCTCCCTATCTTCAGATTTTCTGCTGGAAGTACCATCCATATCCCTTTAGCTGCCCACTTCTGCATCTGACATACCAGCTGCAGCAAGGACTATGCATTCCCTCTAACATTCCTTTTAATATAAGCCTTTATTACTGGCACTGACAATATTCTGCCTTGGTTTTCCTGCTCTTCCCACCTGTCTTATGTTTAAGGTCTTTTTAATTCACTACACATACTCCTCAGGATTCTCTATCTGTTGGGATTTGGGCAAGCCCAGGCTCAAGACTGTTTTCATTTTGTCTTTCCTGAGTTTTCATTTAAGCAGACTAGTGCCTGCAGGCTGGTACCATTATGTTTCCAGGGGAGCACTGTCCAATAGAAATATACTGCAAAGCACAGAAGTCATTTAAAATCTGCCAGCTGTTTACATTCAAAAATTTAAAAAAGAGCCACTGAGGAGGCTGAGGCAGAAGGACTGTAGGCCAAGCGTGAGTCCAGCCTGGACAAGTTAGAACTTGTCCCAAAAAACAAAAAGGGTTAGGGATGTAGCTCAGTGTTAAAAGTACTTACCTAGATGAGCGAGGGCCTGGATTCAATCTCCAGTACGGCCAGAAATTTCTGTAAGTGTTCAGAGGAACACACTATCATCAACAATTAACTTGGAAATAATTTTAGACACAAGCCTGTATTCCCAGCTACTTGGAGGCTGAAACAGATCACCTGAACCCAGGAGGGTCTGCAGAAAGGTAATTAAATAAAAATGAGGTCATGTGGGTAACAAAGAAACGGGGCCTGTGCAACATAAACTGTCTCCAAACAAATGGGAGACCCTGAGATGTTATCAAAATACCAACTTCACCTGCAATGGAGCTAGTTCCAGTACAGAAGGGGTTCTTGAGACAGAAATGCAGTAGTTAGTGTGGGTTGGGAGCACGGCTCTGCCATTTAACATCTGTGGGACACTGGGCAAATTACACATTGTTCATCTATAAAATGGGGAGCTAGGGGGCTGGGGATGTAGCTCAGCGGCACAGTGCCTGCCTGGCAAGCGCAAGGTCGTGAGTTCGATTCCCGGTACAGGGGAAAAAAAAAAAATGGGGAGCCGGATGTCAGATGGCACAAGCCCGTCATTGGGCAGCCCCATGAGTTCGAGGTCAGCCTGGACTACACAGCAAAACCCTGTCTCAACCAAAAAAGGAAAAAAAGAGGAGAAGGAGGTTGTAATGCTTCATGAGTTCTTATAAGGATTAAATGAAATATAAAGTGCCAGGCACGTAATAAATATTCAGTACATTACTTATTAGCTATTACTCCGGTAAACGTGTCGCAGGCTCTAACTTTAATCCCAAGAAACGCCCAGAAATCTTTACTCCTGACTTGCAGGCCCAGGTTGAGATCTCTGTCTGAGGCCATCATGAAAGCGTGGACACAAGGTAAGCACACACCGCTCCATTCACTTTTCCCACCCGGACTCCCCGTCAAGGCTGACAGCCCTTAAACCAGGCCATGGAGACAACTTCCCTGGCAGGGCGTGAGGGAGGACCACTGGAGGAGGTGGGGACGGATTCCCCGGCTCAGGTACCTACGGTGTCCTCTGCGTCGCGAGGACACAGCCTCGGGCTGGGCCTCGCCCGCCCGCTGCGCTCCAGTGGGTTTCTGTGTTGAGGGGTCGCTGAGGAGATCCCGCGAGGACCGTGGAAAGGGGCGTGGCGAGCGCCGGCTCCGCCCACCCGTCGGGCTCGAGTCCGGAGTGGGTCCGCCAGGCTGACGCACTCGGCTCTCCAGCCAATCGAGAAGCGCAGACCAGATTCAAATAAAGACGGCGGGTGAACATGGCGGACCGGACTTGGTCTGGGAGGTGATCGACCTGCTTTCGGTATTGAAGATGTGGCGAGTAAAGAAATTGAACCTCAGTCTGTCGCCGTCGCCCCAGCCAGTGAGCAGGGAAGAGCTGGGTGGGGTTACCCGGGTGGGGAGCGTGGGTTCGAGGGACCTGGAAGGCTGGGTCAAGCCTGGGGCTGGAGAGCGTTTGGGATCTTTGTTCGTCTTGCTCCTTCAGCGCGACTCGGGTGGGAACAGACTCTTCACTTTTGTTTTCTTCTGTTTGTCTTTCTCAGGGGAAACCAGCTATGAGAACTCCTCTTCGGGAACTTAACCTGCAGCCCAGTGACTTCAGCTCAGGACCAGTCCCGGCTATCTGCTCCACGCTGACCCCATCACTGCGCAAGCTGGGGCTGCAGGTGAGATTCGACTGGATAGCTGCTCGACTGGACTGTGTGCCCAGGTCGAGAGCTCTGAGGAACAGAGGGCTGGAACGTAGTAATTAATAACGATAATGAAGTCTGTACAACAGTGACATCCATTTACAGCTATTCAGGCCAACAGAGAGGTGCCCTAGGGTGGTTAAAGGAAATCCACCGAGAACCCAAACCTCTATTTAGCTGTTGATTTTATGATCTCCTCCTCCATTTGACCTTTACCATACTACTGAGAAATCTTTCATCCTAAGTAATGGTCTTTATCTAACATGGGCTCACAGATGGAGAGATCTGTCTGATACAACAATAAAGCAATATCCATCCACTCCAGGAGTAGTCAGAACTCTCCTTGGGATCAAGTTATACTGTGGGATAATAATACTTATTTTTATCTATATTATTGATTATTTTATATAATCATTATCATCATCATTATTATTAAACTATCCCTGGCAGAATTGCCCTTACCGAGTTGAGCTTTTAAAGACAAGCAGCCAAGAACTAACTGCTTCTCAGTTGCTGTAAAAACTTGTCAAAGAAAGAGATTGACCCCTGTGTAAGATTCATTGAAGAAATTTTTTAGAACTTACTGCCTGGGAAAATTAATCTTCCTAAAAAGTGTTACCCTTTTCTCTTTCTAATAATGAAATATAGCTGGGTGTGGTGGTGCATGCCTGTAATCCCAGCATATGAGAGAGATGAAATTTACCATATTTTCCCTCTTGCTCTAGCATAGAAAAAACTCAGGTTACCAGGGATATAGCTCAGCGGCACAAGCACCTGCCTGGCAAGTACAAGGTCATGAGTTCAATTCCTGGTACCAAAAAAAAAAAAAAAAAAAGAAAAAACTCAGGGTGCTTGTTCAGTGTAGTAGCACTATAATCCCAGCTACTTGGGGATAGGGAGACCCTGTCTACAAACAAACAAACAAACAAACACACACAACAAAAGCTGGAGATGTAGCTAAGTGGGAAAGCCCTGTGTTCAACTGTCAGTACTGCAAAAAAAAGGGGTGGGAGGTTCGGGGCTGGAGGCTGAGGATGTAGTTCAGTGGTAGAGCTCTTGCCTGTCATGTGCAAGGCCCTGGGTTCAATCTCCCCCCTGCCCGTGCCAAAGAAACACTCAGGGTCAAATTCAGTTACAGCTATTGGTATATGAAGATTTGGTTCTTCTTTCTTTTTTGACCATGATTTTGTTTTTTTATTATCATTATTGGCATTATTATTATTATTAATTACTATTATTATTTTGGTGGTGCTAGGGGTCTAGCTCAGGGCCTAGCGCATGTTATGCAGGTGTTTTACCACTGAGCTACCCAACAGCCTTATTTCATTAATATATATCTGTCTGTCCCTACGTACTTAGAGTCCTACAAGTGGGTTGAAGTTAGGAAGTGAGAGGAGCAAGGTCACATTCAAGCTAACATTTCCCCATGATCTGGATAGATATTCTCAGTCTGTTTACACTGAAGGCTGGTTCACTTGGAAGGTCTCAAAATGGCTTCTTAACTTTTCTTTCTGTACTGTTGGTCTGTGGAGTAAGCAACAGAATTGGCCAAATTCTTATCTTATAAGCAGAAGTAATGAGGACTTTTTAAAAATTTGGATTTTTTTTTTTTTTTTTTTGGTACCGGGAATGGAACTCAGGACTTTGTGCTTGCCAGGCAGGCACTTGTGCCGCTGAGCTATATCCCCGGCTGGATCGTATTTTATACCCATAATTATATATGGGAAATGGAATTGACTGCCTTATCAATTCATTTTGTTTTTATTGTCAGGAAGGCAGCCACAACTCATCCCTGCTGGATTTAGTCAATGCCAAGACAACAGACTCCCCTTCAGAACAATTCAGCTATCCCTCAAGGTGGCTAGAAGCTTGTCAGAATGAGTCAGGCAAGCAGCCTCTAGAACTGACTGCCCAAACCAACTCTATTCCCAAAACATTTGAGGAAGGAATAGACACAGCGGAGGACTGTGTGGTTAAAACCATGGTCCTTGAATCCTCTTCAGTGGGGCAGAAGCAAGACATGATACTCGAGGCCCATTCAGACACCATGGCAGAGACAAACAGCAGCTCTCTAAATGAGCCTTTGAGGCCAGAAGATCTAGGGAGGAAGGAAGTGGCACCTTGCATGGAAGACAGCTTTTTAGAAGTTACTGCTGCTATGCCTGAGAAAGCTACATTCCAAGATTCTCCATCTCATCTCTTGGACTCTTCACCCTGTTCTGAGCAACAACTACATTGCTCCAAGGAGAGCCTGAGGGACAGTAAGACTGAACCTGTACCTGAGGACTCAGTACCCTCTGAAAGTAACGACTTCGTGCCTTCCTCCATTCTCTGGCTTTCTCCTTCACCTGGCTTGGCAGCAGATTCCCCCACCAATCATGTGGACCAAGGGGAGGAAGGAGAATTGAGCTTCCCCACGCCCCCTGAACAGGTTGAATTGGGAGATCAAGCACTTGTCTCAAATGTGGAAAATGTTCCACCCACATGCCTGACACCAAATCCAGGGGCATCGGAATCCCAGGCAGCTCCAGGCCCAGCAGACGATGCTGGTAGGATTCTTGGATATGATTCAGAGACTTGGATGTCCCCACTGGCCTGGCTAGAAAAAGGTCTAAATACTTCAGTCATGCTAGAAAATCTCCGCCAAAGTTTATCCCTTCCCACCGTGCTGCAGGATGCTGCCATTGGCACTACCCCTTTCTCAACTTGTTCTGTGGGGACTTGGTTGACTCCTCCGGCACCGCAGGAAAAGAGTATAAACAAATCCCAGATCAGCCCGCTGGGCAACGAAGAAGAAAGTGCTTCAGAGACACAGCACCGCCTGTGGGGGTAAGTGTCTCATAGCCTGTGCTTTTGGGGCTCTGTTACCTGGGATCTGCCACTCTCTTCCCTTCATTTCTCTTCCTTTTTCCTTACGTTCTTTTCTTCCTGCTGCAGCCATCATCCTCCAGATCTGACTGCCTTGTCTAGACAAGACCTGGAAGGTAATCTGATGAGCTCTCTTGTTATTCTGGAGGTTCTGACCCGCCAGCTACAGGACTGGAAGAACCACCTGACTGTCCCTCACCCTGAAGCCCGGGACTGTAGCACTCAGACAGACACCTCTCCTAGTCAGGTAAGAAACTTCCTTGCAAAGCCTGAAGGATCTTAGTGGCCTTCTTCCTTAGAATTTAAGGCAATAAACTGCCAGAGGACAAGGGAGTACTGTAGAATATGTATGAAAACTGAGAATCTGGAAAAATCCTTGAAGTTGAGTACTCACTACATCGCCGGAGTACAAGACTTTCCAAAGGAGTGCAAAGAAGGTTTTGAAGGAATCAATGTTTGGATCTTCCTCTTTCAAATGTACTCTTTACTGTTTTGTTTTGTTTTTTTTTTTTTGTCATTTTGTCTTTTTGAGACAGGGTCCCACCATATAGTTCAGGCTGGTCTTGAACTCATTTTGTCACCCAGGTTGGTCTCTAACTCACAAAGATCCTCCTGTCTCATCCTCCTGAGTACATAGGATCACAGGCATGTGCCACCACCCCCAGCTTTTTCTTTCTTTTCTACTTCCCTGTTCTAACCTCCCTTACCCACTTTACTAGAGAAGAGCATACTTGTTTTGTTTTGTTTTGTTTTTTGGTTTTTGTTCGGTACCGGGAACCAAACTCACGACCTTGTGCTTGCCAGGCAGGCACTTTGCCGCTGAGCTAAATCCCCAGCCCAAGAGCATACTTTCTATCCCAAATCTTACATAGCAATCAAAGGACAACTGAAAATATTGGTGCACATTTTGAGAAAGTAAATGACTGCACTAATTATATAACACCCCTTTTTCATGTTTTCAGCAAATTTGGAGGATGACATGTCAGTGGATCATTAGTCATTTTTGATGAAGGTTTACTAATATTACTGGCATATAGATATCTGTAGATATGTTCCTAGAATTGGATGACATTCCCTTCTTTCCTTTTTCTATTCCTGCCAGTTTTTTTTTTATTTATATGAAGATTTTGTAGTATTTACATCTATTAGATTGGAACATACCATTGAATTTTTGCTGAACTATGTGAGAATTGTAGCAATGTACAAATACATGAACTAATATGAGGAGGGAATTTCCATTCATTTCATTAATAGGTGATTCCCAACAAGATTTCACTGGTTATGTGTAGGATTTTATTAAAAAATTACAATGATTAGTATACAACTGATGAAAATGTTTCTCCATCCAAAAGAGAGTGGGGTTTTTTGTTTTTTTTCCCTCACTTAAAGTCTTCTGGTCAAAGCAATTTAGAAAAATTTTTAATTTAAGTTTAGGTGAACTTTTGTTGCAGAGATGTAGGTCAATAACGGTTTTAAAGTATAAAAATATATTAGGATGCAATTCTTTTTTTTTTTTTTTTCCAGTGCTGGGGATTAAACCTAGGGCTTCATACATGCTAGGCAAGGGTTTTACCACTGAGTTACACTTCCAGCTCCTGGGATGAAGTTCTACAAGAAATAAAAATATAGGTTCAATGAGTCAAGTATTGTGGTGTATATCTGTAAGTCCAACATTTGGCAGGTTCAGGCAGGGGGATCAGGCTGGCTTTGAACTCACTGGATAGTCTAGGCTGGGTTTAAGCTTACCACATAGCCCAGGCTGGTTTCAAACTTGCTGTGATCCTCTTGCCTCAGCTTCCTAAGTGCTGGGATTACAGGAGTGCACCACCGCACCTGGGGAAAAGAATTTTTTTCTTAATGGACTGGGGTTGTAGCTTGATGGGAAGGCCGTGGATTCAATCCCCAATACCACATACAAAAGAAGAGCTGGTTCTCAGATGCCCAGAGGTGATCTTTGAGTTGAAAATATCCTCAAAGTAATGACTGCTTTTTGCTAAAAATCCTGGAAACCATAGGCTCCTCAGTCTTCCTAGCTGCTCACTTTCTCTCTTGTGTTATCACTGCATCCTTTTTTTCTTGTCCTTGACCTTGTTTCCCATCCCTGAATCTGCTTTGTGTCCTCTTCCCCTGAGCTTGCCAGGTCCCTTTGGAGGCCACTGAAGCAGAACTGAAAAGGGGAAATGACATCACTTCAGCCATTCCCCTGCGCTATGCCTGTCCTCACCGCTTGGCTGCCTCCTTCACATTAATCTCATCACCTGCCTGACTGCCCAGCTCTGAGCAGTGTGTGTGTCCTACCCAGCGGCGCTGCATGCCTTTCCGCACGATGCAGTTCATAATGATAACTGTGGCAGGGAAAGGGAGCCAGGGACCCCAAGAGATCTGAGGATGATGCAGTTTTGCCTCTAGATCCAGACTGTCAAAGCCTTATGATTCAGCACTGCTGTTCCATCAGCGGTCTTTTTCTAGACGATGGCTACCTTTTGGCAGTAAGGAAGACACTTTTCTTTTAGAATTTGAGTCTTTCTAGGGCTCTGCTGCCTTTGAGGTCATACTTTCTACTTTGAGGAGCATATGGTTTTTTTTGTTTTATTTTGTTTTTGTGGTACTGGAGATTATAAAGCCAGGGCTTTTGCCCTGAGCTACATCCTTAGCCTTTTTTAAACATTTTTTATTTTGAGACAGGGTCTCATTAAGTTGCCCAGGCTGAACAGCTTGAGCTTCTGGTAGTCTTGCCTCAGGCTCCCAGAGTGCTGTCATTACAAGTGTGCACCACCATACCCAGTTTAGTTCATTCTTTCTTGAAGGCAATTAAGTAAAATCCTTTTTTTTTTTTTTTGGACCGGTAATTGAACTCAGGACCTCTCGCTTGCCAGGCAGGTGCTATGCTGCTGGGCTATATCTCTAGCCCTAAGTAAAATCCTTAAAACAGTTTAAATTTTTTGACCTGTACTTTTAGGGATATATTTTAAGGGAATAAAGTTCTGAATAAATATGGCAGTAGACGGAGGTAGGGGTGAGGTGCATGCCTATAATACCAGCTCTTGGATGGTTTAGACAGGAAGGATTGCAAGTTCTGAGCTGAGCCTGGGTAATTTAGCAATTTAGTGAGTGCCTGTTTTAAAATTTAAAAACATTTAAAGAAGACTGGGGATGGGGGGGTGTAGTGGTACACACCTGTAATCCCAGCCTTTGGGAGGCTGAGGCAGGAAGATCACCTTGAGTTCAAGACCAGCCTGGGCTACATAGCAAGACCCTGTCTCAAAAATAAAAAAGGAAGACAGGATGTAGCTCAGTGGAAAGGCCCTTGGTTCAGTTCTCAGCATGAAAAATCAAAACCAATAGATTTTTTTTTGTATCAGAAATTAAACTCAGGGCCTTGTACTTGCTAGGCAGGTGCCATATTGCTAACCTACATCCCCTAGATGTTTTTTAATAATTAAAAAAAAAAGAGAGCCGAGCTTGGTGGCGCATGCCTGTAATTCCAGCACTTGGGAGGCTGAGGCAGGAGGATTGTTGTGCATTTGAACTGCATAGTGAGACCCTGTCTCAGAAAGACCAAAAAAAAAAAAAAAAAAAGAAAAGAAATATAAGATGGACTGTTATATAGTCATTAAAAACTATGCATAAACTAGTGCATGCTGGTGATGTAGCTCAGTGATAGAGTGCTTCCCTAGCATGTATAAGGCCCTAGATTCCATTCCTAGCACTGGGGGTGGAGTATGAGGAATTTTTAATAACATGGAAAAATAAGTTTAATGTAAGTTTGTGATTGTTCAAATATTCTCTGAGAAACTTTGAAGATAAATAAAATATGAGCAGAAGTTAAAAATAGTGGCCCTCTGGCCAGGTATAGTGGCACATGCCTGTAATCCCAGCCCTCAGGATGCTGAGGCAGGAGGATCACTGAGTTTGAGGCCAGCCTGAACTGCATAGTGACACCAGTTTCCAAAAAAAAAAAAATTAGTGGTATTCTACCTTGATAAGCCCTCTAAAGCAGGTGTCTCAGTCTCAGTTTATTCTAATAAGGAAAAATTAAGTAGTAAAAAGAGAACCCATTCCCAGCACTTGGGAGGTTGAAGCAAGAGGATTGCTGTGAGTTTGAGGCCAGCCTGGGCTACATAGTAAGTTCAAGATCAGCCTAAAATACATAGTGAGACCCTGTCTCAACCCACCCCTTAAAAAAACCCAAAACACAACACCCTCACCCATGCATGGTGGTACACGTTTTATAATTCCAACACTTGGGAGGCCGAGGCACAAGAATCAGGTGTTTAAGTCCAGCCTGGGCTACAAAGCAAATTTGAGGCCAGCCTGAACTAAATAATGAGACCTTGTCTTAAAAAACAGAAAAAGCAAATTAAAAAAAATACTAAATAGGATCCCAGACATATTTATATTTGGCTGTCGATATCTATGGATCTTGAATCTGTGGATATAACTAACTGTGCATGGATAAAAAGCATCTGTATTGAACATGTGCAGACTCTTTTTTTGCTTAATAGTATTCCCTAAATAGATAAATATTATAGTGTTTTACATAAGGGACTTTGCATTCAGATTTTGGTATCTGAGGGACCTACTGGAACCAACTTCCCATTGATTCTTTTTTTTTTTTTTTTTTTTGAGACAGTGTCTTGCCATATAGTTCAGGCAGGCCTTCAACTCACTGTGTAACGCATGCTAGCCTTGAACTCAAACTCAGACTTGAACTCGTGGCAATCCTCCTGCCTCAGTCTCCCAAGTGCTGGGATTACAGGCATGCGCTAGCATGCCTGGCCCTACTGATTCTGAGGGATGTATATTATAACTTCAATTATGGTTTTTCTCAAGCATTACTACATTCATCAAATCTAAGGCACTATGAATATTAGGATGGATTTCCATTTCAGTGATATAAAATACGAAAAAGTATTCATCTTAGAATTTATTAAACATGGTAATTTATTTCTAAATTCGTGGTCTACAATTATTTTCCTGGTACTTGAGGGAAATGTTATGGTCATCAGTTTCATGAAACACGTATATCAAGTATGGAGATATATCTGCAACTCTGGGGGTGAGTGCTGTATTGTTGATTGAGAATCACTGCTCCAAGCCATCTGTGGTGTAGCACTCTGGGAGGCAGAGGCAGAGGAATCATAAGTTGAAGTCTAACCTGGGCAACTTAGCAACTTAGTGAGATCCTGTTGCAAAATAAAAAGAAGGCTGGGGATGTAGGTCATTGTAAAAGCTGTGTTTAATTTCCAGTATTAAAAAAAAAAGTCATTGCTCTATATGATGAAATTATGAATGACTTTCTCTTTTTATTCATTTTTTCATTTTCTAAAATTTCATAATAAATATGTATTATCCTGACAATTAGGGAAAAAATTTTTTTTTGTTTTTTTTTTTTGAGACAGGGTCTTGCTGTGCAGTTCAGGCTGGCCTTGAGCTCACTTTGTAGCCCTGGCTGGTCTCGAACTCACAACAGTCCTCTGCCTCAGCCTCTCAAGTGCTGGGATTGCAGGTGTGTACCACCATGTCTGATGGAAAAAATCAATTTTTTTTTTTTTCCGGTACCGGGAATCGAATTCATGACCTTGCGCTTGCCAGGCAGGCACTGTGCTGCTGAGCTAAATCCCCAGCCCAGGAAAAAACGATTTTAAAAGGAATGTTTTTACCTTCTTTTGATTTTCCTTTTCTTTCTTTTATTGATTTTAGTGTTTGGGACAGTGTCTTACTATGTAGTTCAGGCCAGCCTTGAACTGATTATGTAGTCCAGGCTGGCCTCAAATTCATGGCAATTCTCCTACCTCAGGCTCCCTAGTGCTGGGATTGTAGGCGTGCGCCACCACGCCTGGCCCTGTGAGCCTTCATAGGGGGCCAACCTATGAACTTGTACCTGACAAAGGGGTGATGAAAATGCAACACAAAGAGATGCAGAATAGTGTGGGGGACCAGGAGGCTTTTTTTTTGCGGGGAGGAAGAGCAGGAATTGAACTCAGGACTTTGTACTTGCCAGGCAGGTGTTTTGCCACTGAGCTGTGTCCTTGGCCTGTGAGGGAGCTCTTGTCTCCCTTTGACAAAGAGCCCCAAGTGACTGAGTACCTTGGCTTTATTCACTCAGACACGGACACAAGCAGTAAGAGTAAAACAAGATTCATCTGTCTCCCACCATCCATGGTACATATCCGAGTAAATAGCAGGATCTCAGCTGTATTAATTTTCCCTGCAGCACGCTGCCTTTCTCTCTAGTGTTCATAGAAAAAGAGGCCAGTTAGGCCTTAAACTTCCTATCTGGTCTCCCACAAGCCTTGGTCGTGCTTCTGTTAGGGGAGGCTCCTTTAGCTCACTGGAGGAGAAAGGGAATGAGACGCTGCTGATGCACATTGTTCAAACAAAGAGAGCAATTTGCTTATCTGACCAGGTAACTAAGGAACCTCAACATCTTCAGGAGAGCCAGAAGATTGGACAGACCCTGCAGCAAGCCAGGAACATCATGGTACGTGTTGACTGACCTTATATCAATACTAGGGTCTCCTGCGAAGCTTGAAAATGGGGAATCCTGGGTGGTTAGTAGATGATGATACTTAGCTGTGATGGTGAAGGGGGGGTCCTACATCTCCCTCTTTTGTGAAGGACTTTGATTAGGAGCTTGGAATTGGGGTCAGTGGCTTTCCTCCCTAGCTCCCCTGCTTCCTGCGTAGGGATTACATTTCATCCAGCCTGGCCATCTCCCTCCACAGCAGTCATGGGTGCTGGTCTCTAAAGAGCTCACAACCTTGTTTCACCTGTCCCTGCTGCACGTAGAAGATAAAACAAGTGTGAGTCGGGAGGTAAGCAGATGGGGTGGAGGTAGAGGCCTCTGGTGGGACTAAAAGGCAAAAAAGGAAGCAAACACAGCATCTTATTCTTATCTCGTAGTCTCGGCTTGCAGAAACTTTGATGTCCTGCAGTGTTGATGTGTTGAAGAAATTGAAAGCAAAGCTCCAGAGCCTCAAAACAGAAAGGGAGGAGGCAAGGCTTAGAGAGGAAGTGGCACTCAGAGGCAAGGATGTGGTAAGGTGCTGGGCATTTGCTCCTGGACATGGGAGGTGTCTGGCTCAGGGCTCCTATAGGGATGCACTTAAGACACAGATGAATGGCCTAAGAATTGCCTGCCCTGGAGAATTAAGACCTACTAAGGTATTGGACAGTTATCGCTTTTTGTGTTGTTTCCCTCCTCCGCCCTGCATGTCCTTGCAACCTCTTCCCTACACAGGCAGAGACGGTGCTAGAGGCTTTCTGCGCACATGCCAGCCAGCGCATCAGCCAGCTGGAAAAGGACGTGAAATTCACAGGGGAATTCAGAGGCCTTCTGCAGGAGGCCCAGGCCCAAATGGTAATAAGAGCATTTTCTTTGCTGTGGTCTACGCTGACACATTGGGAAGATGGTCACATACCCCTTTCGCTTAGCGACCTCCACATACAACCCTTCCCTCGTAGGTAGGCCTTCATACGGAGCAAGAAGAGCTGGCTCAGCAGACGGTGAGTCTGACTTCCACCTTGGAACAGGACTGGACATCCATGCAACTCGATGTGCGTATTTGGGGCCATCATAACCACCCCCTTTCTCGTAGCCAGCCCTGTGAGGAGCCTTGCCTCAAGCGTGCCCTACTGACTAGATTATTTCCCCTGGTAGTATGTGGCATGGACAGCTTTGCTGAGTCGGTGTCAACAACTCACAGAAAAACTCACAGCCAAGAGCCGACAGGCCCTGCAGGACCATGATGTTGCAGTTGAGGAAAAGCGGCAGGTACAGACCATGAGTGGGGACTACTAAGGCTTGCTTTACACCTACTTTGCAGAGGCCTCTCCAGCTGTGGTATCGTTAACCTCTTCAGTTGGTCTTTCTCCCCTGGGTTTAGAGAACAGCCAGGTTCCTTATCTGTAAGAAGATTTGAACCTACTTGTTTGTTTCTTTTGCTTTTTAGCACCTTTTTTGTTGTTATTGTTTGGAGCCATTATATAGTTCAGGCTGGCTTTGAATTCACTATGTAGCCCATATTAGTCTTGAACTTGAAGTGATCCTCCTGCCTTAGCCTCCCAAGTGCTGAGATTACAGGCATGCCTCCTCACTGTGCCTGGATCTTCAGCATCTTCTTTACTTTAGCAATTTTTCTCATGTATCTTTTTCTTAAGGATCAGCTTTGTTTTGTGTAATGTTGCTGCCCAGAAGCAAGGTCGTTTGCTGTCTTGTCCAGAAAGAGAAGCTGCACTAAGTCCTGGCATTCTTGATTCAGGAAGAATTACAGGTGGAAAACTATCTTTTAGATTTCCAGGGAGCTGGAACAAGCCTCTGCCCATTTAGAGGACTGCAAAGGCCAAACAGAACAACTGCAATTGGAAAACAGTCGCTTAGCAACAGGTATGTGTGTGTGTATGTGTAAGCAGTTGAGCCTGCTCAAATTTGGAGTATGGTGGTAGAACAAGGAAGTGCCCTGAAACACCTACTTTGGATCAAAAATGTGAGGGCTTTCTGGCTTGATGATTGCATGGTGTCATTAGGGTATTTTGATCTAGATCTCCAGGCTCAGCTGCAGATTCTGGCCGACATGGATAGGCAGCTAAAAGAGCTGCAGAATCAGCATGCCCATTGTACCCAGGACCTGGCCACAAAGGATGAGTTGCTCTGCCAACTTACCCAGAGCAATGAGGAGCAGGCTGCTCAGTGAGTTCCTATCAGGTTATTGTGGCAATAGGCACCCAGCATGTAAGACCAAGCAGGATTTAACGTAAGGTCTCTGGCAGATGGCAAAAGGAAAAGACGGCACTACAACAAACACAAGCAGAACTGCAGCAACAACAGGCTGTGTTGGCCAAAGAGGTGCAGGACCTCAAGGAGACCCTGGAGGTAAGGGTAAGGTAAACCTTAGGAGTGGAGGACCTGAAGCCTGATGGCACTGAGGTGAAGTTTGTGAAGATGGACTGGAAAAAACCTCTGGCCAAGGGCTCTAAAGTTCTCCACTTGTACTCACTTTCCCCCTTTCCTCTCTCGCTGTGTCCCTTCCTTCCTTCTCTTGTCTTTCCAGTTTGCAGACCAAGAGAATCAGGTTGCTCACCTGGAGCTGGGCCAGGTTGAGTGCCAGTTGAAAACCACACTGGATGTGCTCCGGGAGCGCAGCCTGCAGTGTGAGACTCTCAAGGACACTGTAGAGAACCTAAAGTAAGATCTCTCCCTTTTTCTCTGCTTCCCCCAAGTGCTTATTTTTCCCAGAAACACTTCTAGAAACCAGAGTCTCCAAGAAGGGACTTGTGACAGTATCCGAGCTTCTGGTTTCTCTCCTTGAATGCAGGGGATGTGGAAGAGGTGTTCAGAGAAGATACCTTGGGTTTTGGTCATCTTCCCCATTCCCTGTTTCAGGGCTGACCTGACAAGCACCATCGCAGAGAACCAGAAACAAGACCTGCAGAAGACACGGCGGTATTCCCAAGAGCTCGGGGTGCTGACCAAGCAACTACAGAGCTTAACCTTCTTCCTACAGACAAAACTAAAGGAGGAGGTAGATCTTGGCATCCCTTCTCTTCAAACTGTATCTTGCAGCTGGGCATGGCAGTGCATGCTTGTAATCTCAGTGCTTGGGAGGCTGAGGGATGAAAATTGCCACTAGTTTGCCAACCTGGGCTATATAGTGAGCCCTATCTCAACTCGTGTCCCCCAAACACACACACACATACACACACAAAACAAAGCAAAAAAAAAAAAAACAACCCAAATTGTACATTATATAGAATAGTCTTCCTAAAATCCTGCTCCTGTTTCATTTCTGTGGCCATCAGTGACTTTCAATTACTATAGGACCTCTTCAATCTATCACTCATGTATTTCTGTCTCCAACCTCCCTATTATGAACGCTTTACTCCAACAAGGCAGCCTGTACACCACACACACGTCCCGTCTCCATTCACAGCTGGCCTTGGGCTTTTCCCACTTCTATTTTCTTCCATTTTCAGACTGAAAATTCTTTTTCTTTTCTTTCTCATTAAAATCTTCCCTAGCTCACCATCTTTAAAATGTTCCCAGGTCATATGGACTCACCGACCTCTTTCTTTGCTGCAGTCCTCACAAACTTACTCTCCTTTTGCTTTTGTATTGGTTTTCCTTGGATAGCTGATCTCTTCAACTGGACAATATTTAAAGAAAGCAAAACTTTAGCCTTGCTTCTTTGGCTTCCTCACAGTGCACACTGACAATAAACGGTTGATATCTTTCAAAATACAGAGTTAATTAGCTTATTCAACAGTTAAATGTACAACCAAGATCCTACCCTCTTCCAGCTATGTGCTGAGAAGCTAAACAATCTACAGTCTAGAAGGAAGGACACAGACATAACGTTGTCATCTTGATATGATCATGGTAGAAGTCTGCACGGGGCACTGGGAGCTCAGAGAAAAGACGATTGGTTCTACTTTTTTTTAATTTTAATATTTTGTTTTTTGAGACAAGGTCTTGCTGTGTAGTTCAGGCTACCCTTGAAGTCGCTGTGTAGCTAAGGCTGGTCTTGAACTTGTGATCCTCCTGCCTCAGCCTCCTAAGTCCTGGGATTACAGGCGTGTGTCTCCATGCCTGACTCAGCTTTATATATACTAAAATTCATGGAACATAGTGGTAGAGTTTATTTCACAAGCAGTTAGTCTTTGGGCCTGGAGACTGGGAAAAAATCCAGTTGAAAGAAAGAAATGGAAGAGTCACTCATGTGGAAATAGAAGCTGGAAGTGGATGTTTTTGTGGCGTTCCCAAGGTGAGGCCACCCAGGGAAATGGATTAGAGAGTAAAAAGAGGGCCAAGGACCAAACCTAGAAGGGTCCAGTGGTCAAGGAAGGACCTGTGGGTGGACAGAAGAAATATCCAGAAATGTCTGAGGCCTCTGCATGAAGGAGGGTCATGTCCTGGAAGAAAGGGAAGTTTCTAAAAGTACAAGATTTTTAGGAGCACAGTGTCAAACAGGCCAGGTGAAACGAGCAGAAAAGTATTCCTTGTATTTGAAAGTAAGTGCACCAAATGCCAGGAATTGCAGTGGGATGGTGGGGTGGAAGCCTGAGTGTAGTGGGCTGGGAGATAGAAGATGGTGAGAAGAATAGGCTGCTTTTCTTTCCCTCGCTCTCTCGGGGAAAAAGCCCAGTACTAGTAGCCGAAAGAAGATTTAAGGGCTTTTCTTGTGTTTGTTTTGTTTTTAAAGTATTGACTTAGTGAGCTGGTTATGGTGCTACACACCTGTAATCAAGAGACTGAGGGAGGAGTATTGCCTCGTTTGAGGCCATCCTGGGCTACGTAATGAGTTCAAGAGCACTCTGAACTGCATAGCAAGACCCTGACTCAAAAAAATATATTATTATAGCAAGAGCGGCTTAGGAATGTAAACATGTTTGCGGAAAGGTGCTAATGGAGGAGTTGGAGAGAGAGCTACAAAGCCGTGGGTGGAACGACACACTGGAAGAGGAGGCTGGAAAGGCCTGCGAACAGGCATCACTCTGAAGAGCAGCTGATATTTTTCTTCCCTTGGCCTTAGGCTGACCCAGAGACCCTTTCACTGAGCACAGCTCATGCTTTGGCTGAGGATCACCCTCCACCTAATGGCAGTGCCTTCATGGGGAGCATCTGGAGAGCAGAGACAAATGAAGGTTAGAGGCCCTAGGATTTGGGAGTGGAGAAGCTGCTCCTGATACCTTGAGCTGCCGAACAGGCCTCCCATCTCCCAGCTGGCACTGTGGCAGACCTTTGCCTGGATTGCCAGAGGGGCCTTTCCCCATGGTTGATTTTTGTTTGTTTGTTTTAGAGCCAGAATCAGCTCCTGTGCCCTTGCTTGGAAGTGGCAAGAGTGCTTTCACCCGAGTAGCACCAACAGTTTCCCTTCAGCCTCCAGGTTAGAAGGGGCTCCAGGGATCCTGCCTCATTTCTAGAAAGTCTAGTGGTGATGAATAAAGACAAAAGCAGTGAGAAGTGCTTTGCTCTAAAAACCTCAATTCTACTTGGGCTCATTTTATTTTTGTCTTTTGGGATCTGTAATGTTCTGGATATTCAAATCCTATGGGTGGGGAATACTGGTAAGAGTTGGTGGAAATAAGTGGTGGTTATACACCCCTTCCTTCCAGGCCGAAGGGCTGTACTGCCATGTAGGACTTTCTTTTCAGAGATCCCAGACATAGAGAAGACTCTGGGAGAAATGAATACTAAGCTTCTTGAGCTTCACAGCCTGTGTACCCTGCTGCAAGAGTCTAAAGAAGAAGCCATTGGGACTCTGGAGCAAAAAATGTGAGTGAGATGGAGTCCCGCTGGCAGGGGCAGTAAGTCCCTTACCCTAAGGGCAGCACCCCCTCAGAGGACAGGAATGATAAGGAATTCATCCCTCTGCTAGTTGTGCTCTGCAGATGAGGCTGCAGGCCCAGGAAGAACAGCATCAGGAAGCCCAGAAGGCAAAGGAAGCGGACATAGAGAAGCTGAACCAGGCTTTGTGCTTGCGCTACAAGGTGAAGGAGGGGCCTAGAAGTGGGGCGGTGAAGAACTGGGGCAGCTCTACTGGCCCACTGGGAGCCATTGTCTCTCCAGAAATCTGGGTGGTGGGGATTTTCCAGCCACTGCTCTAGTTTGGCCTTTCCTGGGGTCAGACATTTTGCATTATTTAAGAATCAGCTGTGGGCTGACCTGTATTCCCTAGCAGACTAAGAGAGGATTCTAGCAGAATTCTCCCAACACTGAGCTATGCCTTGCCTGATTTAGCCCTGGGGAAAGAATTGGAGTGGTGGGGTATCAGCTGATCCCGGCGGGGCCAAGCACACAGGGTCAGGCGCTCTCCTGCCTCCTGGCAAGAGCTGCAAAGAAGCCAGCTCTCCCTCAGTGACTTGTCACCTCCCTTTCTCTCACAGAATGAAAAGGAGCTCCAAGAAGTGATACAGAAGCAGAATGAGAAGATCCTAGAGCAGATAGACAAGAGTGGCGAGCTCATAGTATGTTCCTCAGGATGCTCAGCCCCTGCCTTCCATGCTATTGGTAGCCAGATCCCAAACATGCCACAGTTGGTTACCCTGATCTGCCTTTGTCCACAACATGGGATAAGGATAGAGAGGAACCCTGAGTACTAGGACTATTTCTCTTCTTATTCCCAGAGCCTCAGAGAAGAGGTGACCCAGCTCACCCGCTCACTTCGGCGGGCAGAGACAGAGACTAAAGTGCTCCAGGAGACCCTGGCAGGCCAGCTGGACCCCAACTGTGAGCCCATGGCCACCACCTGGATCCAAGAGAAAGTGTGGCTGTATCAGGAGGTGACTCAGTTAAGAGGAGCTGGGCAAGCAGTGGGGACCCCAGGCTGTTCCCCCTATTAATCTGGACATACCTATAGGTGGACAAGCTGAGGGTGATGTACCTGGAGGTGAAAGATGAGAAAGCAAAACTCATGGTCAAGTTCCAGAGCCAGGTGAAGATTTCCATACTATCCCAGCGCTGACTGCTACCACCACCGGCAAGCCCCCTGCCGTGCTGCCTCTATCCTACCGAGTTATGCTGTTCTTTTAAGCACAGGACTTATAGAGCATATTTGCTTTCTAGAGAAACATCCTAGAGGAGAACCTTCGGCGCTCTGATGCAGAGTTAAAGAAACTAGATGAGATTGTTCAGCATATTTACAAGGTAAAGCAGGGAGGGAGATGATAGGACTAAGGCACCTAAGGTCCAAAGCTTGGCTCTAGAGGGTGCTTATGAGCACAGCTCTGGTTCCTAGCCTGTGCTGAGAGCTGGCTCTGATTCCATACTCCAGGCTTCTCTGGTTTGTTTTCTTCCTTTGAACTCAGTGGGAGCTGGGAGCCTTGGGCCTTAGACTTGTTCTGAGCTGCCTTTTCTGCCTCTCTTCCCAGATTCTGCTGTCCATCCCAGATGTAGTACAAAGTTGCAAGGAGCTACAAGGATTGCTAGAATTTCTGAGCTAAGAAACAGAAAGCAGCCAGTGGCAGTGGTGTGTACCTGTAATTCCAGCTACTCGGGAGGCAGAGGCAGGAGGATCACCTGAGCCCAGGACTTCGAGATTACTTTGGGCAACATAGTGAGACCCTGTCTCAAAAAGGGAAAAAAAAAAAAGAAGAAGAAACAAAGCTGGATTCTCCTTCATCCCTTTTTACCTGCAATACCTTTTCACCCCCAATACTAGGACCAATTGGCCTAGAGCCAACTATGTTTAATATTATTTAAATAAAGTGTATTTAATGTACTTCCTCAAGCTCGCAATCTTATTTTGGTGTGGGAGGGCGTGGATGAGATCAGGGGGAAAGGAGCTTGCCCCTTAGGCCTGGGTGGGTACCCTACAGCCATTTCTTTCCACCTCCTGCTGCATCCAGAGCCATGGCCGTCTGCCCTCCCTTCTGTTGCTTCCCCCAAATACTCGGCACTGGACTGCTTGTTCCTTGGCTCAGGGCCTGTGGGGAACAGAAAAGGCTCCATTCTCTTACTTTCCCCATCCCCCAGGGGGTTGGCTCTGGCAAACTTGGAGCTGAGGACAGAGAAGCTCAGTTCATCTATGCCTCCAACCTGGGCACCCTGTTGGTGCTGTCACACCTTCCCCACCTGCTGTCAGTGTTTGGGAGACTTTCACCAGACCAGAGTTAATCTCAATCTGCAGTACGGTGCCCTGCACGTGGCAGAGATAAAACCAAAGCAATTCCCTGCCTTGAGGTGGGAGGGGCACAGTCCCCACAGCCCGCCAGGTCCTGGCAGGGGAGTCACTCCACCTCACCGCCCCGCCTCCGTGGGCGTAGCCTTACCCGGACCAGTCCAGGGGAGGCGCAGGCCCGGGGGAGGGGCAGGTCCCGCCCCCCGGAGAGTCACGTAGCTCTGCGGCACCCGCAGCCTCATTAACTCGAGGCGGGGCTGAGGCGCAGCAGTTGCAGACCTGAGTCTGCGCTGCTCCTGTGGCTGCTGCTGGTAACTGGCTGCACACAGGTAAGGTTCTGGGAGAGGCGGATGCTGCTCAGCAGCTACGCTTCCTCTCCCTGGCTCCTTCCCTGCCTCCTTGTCCTGCTCCCTGGAGTTCCCTGGTGTGCTCTTCAGGTTCTTTCCTGACATCCTTGTGCCTTTCTGCCTGCTTGAAGCCCAAGGCTTAGCCTGTCTCATTCCTCGCCTGCTTCCCAGCTCTCTCAGCTGCGACTCAAGCTTTTCCAATCCCAAGCCTTCCTCTGTCGCCTGCATTTTTTCCCCCTGGATCAGTCTTTCCCACCCGAGCCGTTTTATTTTGTTTTGTTGGTTTTTTTTCCACCCAAGACGTTTTAATCTCAGCTTGCTTCTGTTCCCTCTAGGCTAGGCCCCCCTGCAGCTCTCTTGCCTTCTCTGTCCTCCCCAGATCTAGGTCCTCCCCAACGGTTTAGCTCACCATTGCCATCGCCTTCCCTCATCTCTCCTCCTGTAGGTCTCCCTCCCCTTCTCAGGCTCTCACTCCTTTCAGCCTTGAGCCTCTGCCCCTGCCTCTGTCTCCCCACTGGGTGTCTGAGTTGAATGTTCCCTATTTCCCAAATGCCCCTCCACACAGAGGAAGTGCTTCTGGGCGCTGGAGATGACCTGGAGGTGTCACATCCCCGATCTTCACACCTAACTTAGACTTGCGGGCCCTCGTTCCCATTTTGCAGGCCTACTGCGGCTGATCTCTGAGGCAGAGGTAGGGCACAGGCACAGGCAGTCAGGACTGCAGTATGGAAAAAAAAATTTATGGAACCCTGTGACTGTTATTTGTGCTGCTCCTACTTCTTATCCTGCCTGTGATAAGTATCTCTGAAGCCTTGGAATAAATGTGATTTCCCTAAGAGCCCTGTTGAGGATGAGAAAAGAGAAGCTGGAAAGACCAGGACTTATGTGCACCTCAAGAAGGGACCAAATTTAATGGAAGAAGGACTTGTGTCCTGAACTGGGCAAGTGTTTTTAGTTTTCTGAGTCAGGGTCTTGCTGTGTAGTTCAGACTGGCCTTAGATTCTTGGCGATCCTCCTGCCTCAGCCTCTCCAGTGTTGGGATTACAGGTGTGCACCACCATGCTTGGCTCTAGGCAACAGTTTCATAAGACCTGTAGCTTCAGGGCTGCTCACTTCCCCACCCCCATCTTGCATCTTGCCTACAGGCTGGGAAGGGTGCCCACCAGGGACAAAAGGAGATGTGGGAACTGGGGCCCTAAGCCTGCTAGCTGTCAGAGAGATTGGTGTCACTTCGATGCCCAGGACTCATGCCAAGGACTGCTGCTCTGCTCCCAGCCCCATGTTTAGGGGAGGGGGGCATTTGGCCAGGAAAGGAAGCAGAGGAGGTAGCAGGTGGTATCTAGTCTTTCTATCTTATCTCCATTCCAGAGAGCTGTCACCATGCCCCACTCATACCCAGCCCTTTCTGCTGAGCAGAAGAAGGAACTGTCTGACATTGCTCTCCGGATTGTGGCGCCAGGGAAAGGCATTCTGGCTGCAGATGAATCTGTAGGTAGGTGGTGGCGGTGGTAGGGAGTAGAGGAGGTCAGAGAGTCCTGGCCAGGGAGAACGGCTGCCTCCACTTTGTTTGCCCCCAGGCAGCATGGCCAAGAGGCTGAGCCAAATCGGGGTGGAGAACACAGAGGAGAACCGCCGGCTGTACCGCCAGGTCCTGTTCAGCGCTGATGACCGTGTGAAGAAGTGCATTGGCGGCGTCATCTTCTTCCATGAGACACTCTACCAGAAAGATGATAACGGTGTCCCCTTTGTGCGAACCATCCAGGATAAGGGCATTGTCGTGGGCATCAAGGTGCAGTCCCAGCCCTAACTGGGGCTGGCTGTGGAAATAGGTGTGTGTAGGAGGGGAGGCAGAGAGGTTCCTACCTGGGGTCAGCCCTCTGCCTGTGTTTCCGCTGCAGGTTGACAAGGGTGTAGTGCCTCTGGCTGGGACGGATGGAGAAACCACCACTCAAGGTACACAGTGGGGGGCTTCAGGGCCGAGGAGGTAGGTAGGCAGTTGATGGTGGCAGGAGAGGGACAGAGTGATGAGCGTGGTGCTGTGCCTACAGGGCTGGATGGGCTGTCTGAACGCTGTGCTCAGTACAAGAAAGATGGCGCTGACTTTGCCAAATGGCGCTGCGTGCTGAAAATCAGTGAGCGCACACCCTCAGCGCTCGCCATCCTGGAGAATGCCAATGTGCTGGCCCGCTATGCCAGCATCTGTCAGCAGGTATGTGCTGGGGTTTGGGTGACCAGGTGGGTGCCCTGTGCCTGGTGAGGAGAGGGTTACAGGACTTTTTCCCATCTCACCCACTGCTCCCCCAAGCTACTCTGCTCTTTCTACAGAATGGCATTGTTCCTATTGTGGAGCCTGAGATCCTGCCTGATGGAGACCATGATCTCAAACGTTGCCAGTATGTTACAGAAAAGGTGAGTTCACAGCTGAGCACAGATACATATTTTAGGGACAGCCTGGCAGGGGTGCCTGCAGCTCATTTGCTGGCTTAGATCCAGACACTGACCCCTAGCATTGTGTTATTGTTTTGTTTTGTTGAGGCAGGGTCTTACTATGCAGTTCTTGAACTCTCAGCGATCCTCCTGCCTCAGCCTCCCAAGTGCTGGGATCACAGGCATGTGCCACCATACCGGGCAGCACTCTCTCACTGATCCTAGAACAGCCCTGAAAGTCTGAGCTTGTACTGAACCTTACTGTTCATGCCCACCCACCCCTGGGTAGGAGGCTTAGAGCCGTAAATAATGGGAACCCAGACCCTTCAAAAATCTTTTCTGGTCCCCAGGTCCTGGCTGCTGTGTACAAGGCCCTGAGTGATCACCATGTGTACCTGGAGGGGACTCTGCTTAAGCCCAACATGGTGACCCCTGGCCATGCCTGTCCCATCAAGTACAGCCCAGAGGAGATTGCCATGGCCACCGTCACTGCCCTGCGTCGCACTGTGCCCCCAGCTGTCCCAGGTACTAGCCTGTTTCCTAACCTGCTCCTACCTCTCAGGGCCATCCTGAGGCTCTTGCGGCTTTCAGGAGTCCCTTACCCTGGAAAATAAGGAATGACCAATCAATTGGTCTGGACTGGCCACTCAGTTGGTGTTCTCTCCTCCAGGGGTGACCTTCCTGTCCGGGGGTCAGAGTGAAGAGGAGGCCTCACTCAACCTCAATGCCATCAATCGCTGTCCCCTTCCGCGGCCGTGGGCCCTCACCTTCTCCTATGGGCGTGCCCTGCAGGCCTCTGCACTCAATGCCTGGCGAGGGCAAAAGGACAATGCTGGAGCTGCCACTGAAGAGTTCATCAAGCGGGCTGAGGTTGGGAGCTGGGGGTGGTAGGGGTGGTGGGGTGAGTGTGTGTAGCTGGGAAGGGCCGAGTACCCACAGGTTACTGGAGGTCAGGGTTTGACACCTGTGGGCGGGCTTGGCCGCTCACGCCACCGTCCCCTTTTGCAGGTGAATGGGCTTGCAGCCCAGGGCAAGTATGAAGGCAGTGGAGAAGACGGCGGAGCAGCGGCGCAGTCCCTCTATATTGCAAACCATGCCTACTGAGGAGTGCTTACTCCACACTACCGCCCTTGGCCCAGCCATCTGCACCTACTTTGCCTGTAGTCACGGCCAGGGTCAAATAGCCATGCAGAACAGAGATGCCTTCACCCAGCCCCAAGTCCTTGTCTTTTTCTCTTCTCCCCTCTCCTCTCCCATTGCTGCACCTGGGACCACAGGACGGGAGAATAGGAAGCCCCTCAGGTCTGAGGGCAGGAGAGTGGCTAGAAATCAGAGCAGGATGCCTGGGTATTCCTCAGTCTCCCCAGCCCTCATAATTTCCCCATGATGGTACAGCTTCTCCTTGGGCTATCGTTGCTGGCCCTTGCTCTAGGATGAGAAGGAAGTATATAAGCCCCGACTCATGCCTTGAGTATATACCATATAGGAAATAAAAGGTAGCAAAACATGCTACTTTGTCTGTCTGTTTTACACATCAAATTCCCACCTCCTCTTTTCTGATCTCTGGCAATTCTGTCTCTGGGCCCTGTGACTGTACAGGTAGAGAGGGTGAGGATTTGAGTTCTACTAGGCTTCAGATTTATAGAGGAAGGGCATACCAAGTCACCATTCCCAGGCCAGGCTCTTGCCTGATGATGTTTATGGCTGCAGTGGGGCAGTGAGGAGAGCTGCATCCTCTAGGGACTGCTACATCAGAGCCACTAGGCTGCGCTATAGAAGGATGGGGTGGAGGGGATGAGCAACTCCTGAAGGCAGATTTTGTGGAAGGCTCAAAGCAAGGAGGCAGCAGGACAAAATGGGATAAAGTTGGGCGGGAATTGGACCCATCTCAGCAGTGTCGAGCCCAGCTGGGGCCTGACACATTCCACCAGGGACCACCACATTAGGGGAAACACCTGGGCTCCTATCCCATGAGGAAAACCTCCACAGATTTGGGGGCTGCCACAGCAAAGGAGGATGTCCAGGAGGTTGCCCAGAGCTATGGCCCACTCCCACTTGGAATGAGAGGGGTTACAGAGTGGTGCAATTTGAGGCTCTGGGCAAAGGCAGACCTGATGAGGCTTTATACTGAACTTTGACCACTGTGCTGGGGTGTAAGGGGGACTGAGAACCTGGGTCTTTGTGAGCAAATGCGTATGAGAGAACACCTGGATGCAGTGGTGCACACTTGTAATCTTAGCAGCTGGGGAGGCTGAGGCAGGAGGATCACCATGAGTTTGAGGCCAGCCTGAAATATATAGCGAGACTATGTCTCCAAAAGAAGCTTGAATAAAGAAGAAAAGAAAGATGAGAGAAGAAGCTGGGTATATTCTGTGTGAACTGGGGAGGCCACCAATGCTCCACCAAGTGTGGCCTGACCTTATATTGAAAATAGCTACACAGTACTTTCTATATGCTCCTGCCACACCGTGTTCTAATCCCAGTACATATTAACTCAGAATAAATACTACTGCTATTACCCCTATTTAGTTTTGACCTAACCCAGTAGTGCTCTACCACTGCGTTCTCAGCATTTTTTATTTTTTACTTTGAGAAAGGGTCTTGCTAAATTGCCCAGTAGCTAGTAGCTAGAAGCATGTGCCACTGCACCTAGCTTTCCTTTTCAATATGAGGAAACAGGCAGAAAGGCACAGAAGTCATCCAGGTAATAAAAGGTGAATCCATGATTTGGAACCCAGTGATTAGGATTCAGAGCCTGTGCTCATGAGTTTTCATGGCTTTTGTTGTTGTTTTGTGGGGGCTTTTTTGAGACAGGATATATATATATTGCTATATATTCCAGGCTGGCCTTGAACTTTCTATGTAGCCCAGGCTGGTCTCCAACTTGCAGCAGTCCTCCTGCCTCAGCCTCCTGAGTACTGGGATTACAGGCGTGAGCCACCATACCCGGGCAAGACTTTTAAGTATCCTGACTTTTCCAAGTTGTAAATGAATTCAGATGAAAAGACTGGTGTAACCAATCATTTCAAAAAATTACAAGCTTGCTATCTCCGCGTTTGTGGCTTGAGGAGACAGCGCCCAAAGGAGGAGCACTGTGATAGGGATGATAAACAATGACAGCTGAAATCTGAAAGCTTCCCCTTGTGCCAGCCTCTTTACGCACAAGGCTCCTTTTACTAAATGTCTCCACTTTTCGGATTTGAAAACTTCGAGCTCCCCGTGGTCGCCCAGATAGTATTTAGCTTTATGCCCTTCATCTGTGGGGCTATGACTATGTTCCACAGGGAAGCAGGGCTTCGTCAAGATTGTTCCACCAGAGCCTAGGCAAGTAGCTCAATGCTAAAGTACTCGCCTAGCATGAGTGAAGCTTGAGTTCGACCCCCAGCACCCAAACAAAACAAAACAAAACAAAAACCAACCAAAGTTTGTTCCACCAGCGCCGAAACCACCACAATCTCTCTTCACCCCTCTGAGTCCGGGTAACCTTCTAAACTCGCTCTGCAGCTCCACGCCAACTCCGCCCACTCCGGCGACATTCTCCCGCGTGCGTCCAGAGTGCTGCTCTCGAATTGGCTGCGATTGCTACCGTGGTCCCGCCCCCTCAATGCGAGGTTTCTGATTGGGGGAGGCTTACGCAGCTCCGCCCCCTGGCGTCCTAGAGCCGCCGGAAGAGAGCATGGCGGCAACCGGGGCCGCGGCTACAGACCTAGGTGCGGTGGGCTTTGGGTGGGAGCTGTAGCTCCGGGATTGCGAGGGAGGAATGGAGGGGCGGGGATTGAGGTGTGGTAGAGATCCCGCAGCCAGGGGTCAGGGGTCGCTTCAGACGCGATCTCTTCAAACCTGGCCCAGGGTCCCTAACCCGGCAGCCTCTCTGAACGCGGGCTGAGGGTCTGTGAGGACAGGTGGTCCGGCTTCTCCGCGTCAAGGGTGGCGCTGGCGGCCGAGCCACTTTCCCGCGCCTCAGTCGGTCCCCCGGTGTCCCCAGAGGTGGTCCGGGGCAAGCGCGCCGCCCTCTTCTTCGCCGCGGTGGCCATCGTGCTGGGGCTGCCGCTCTGGTGGAAGACCACGGAGACGTACCGGGCCCCCTTACCTTACTCCCAGATCAGCGGGCTGAATGCCCTGCAGGTGAGGCTTCGGCGGGAGAGTGTCCGGGGCAGCCCACCGGTGAGGCGGGGACTCAGCCGATGGCTCCGGTCCTCCTTCACGCAGCTCCGGCTCATGGTGCCCGTCACCGTCGTATTCACCCGGGATTCAGTGCCCCTGGACGACCAAGGGAAGCTGCCCTTCACCGTTGTGCATGAGAGAGAGATACCCCTGAAATGTGAGTTCCTGGGGGGCTCTCCGCAGTCTTTTGGGTCTGAGCTGAATTTGAAGATGGGTTGGGTAGGAGGAGCGTGGGTGTCGCATACTCTCATTAAAAGAGCTCTCGGAACAGCGTGTTTGTTTGGGTCCTTTGAAATCAGTGCCTTTCCCCCCGCCCCGGCGGGGGCAACCTTATCTGGTGGATGAGAAGGCGTATTTGTTTTTCACTGTACAGTATTCAAAAGAGAATTAAAAAATCCAAATGGCAAAATAAATAAGTAAATAAATTCAGTGCCTGTCATTAAGGCAGCAATATTTTTCATAAGATAAGTTGTACTACCTGATCAGAAGCAGTTGATGCCCATCAGAATGGAAGGGAGAAAGTGAGATGTAGTGAAAAGAACGCAGTTTGTTTTCTTTTCTTTCTTTCTTTCTTTTTTTTTTTTTTTTTAGTACTGGGAATCGAACTCAGGACCTTGGGCTTGCCAGGCAGGTGCTTGTGCCGCAGAGCTGTATCCCCGGCCCAAAGAACGCAGTCTGAAATTAAATTGGAGATACATACAAACTCTTCAGTTTAGCGTTAAGCACTACTGTTAGGCACTTTTCTTAGGTACCAGGAATTTGGGGATGAGTAAGAAACTGATAATGATTTCAAGAAATACATAAGTAGGGGAGAGAGACACATAGGTAAAAGCAGTTACTGTAGAAAGTATAAGAAACAGAGTTAGCATTGAAGAAAGAGCCTGGGAAGAAAGAAAGGCAGAGAAGTTTTTTTTTTTTGGTACTGGAAATCGAACTCAGGACCTTGTGCTTGCCAAGCAGGTACTTGTGCCGCTGAGCTATATCCTTGACCCAGAGAAGGTTTTAAGTGATGTAATTTTTGAGTTGGATCTTTAAAGGATGTGTAGGAATTCAGGTTAAATAGAGAAGAGGGAGACTTAGGCAGAGGAAGTAGCATGAGCCAGTAATAAGGATAACTAGTCTGTTACTGCTTACTGTGTGCCTGAAACTAGGTGAAGCACTTTGCATGTATTGCCTCATTTACTCCTCTAACATTAGGATCCCCATTTTATCATAAAGAAACTGAAACTTAAAGAGAGTTTAATTTGCTTTGATCGCAGAACTAATAAGAGATGGAGCTGGGGTTACATCCAGGCCCGATCGATTCCAGTGCTCAATCTTTTAACCAGCACACTGTACCTCTCCTATGTAAAAGCATGGGTGTGTGAGTCAGCAAGTGGGGAATCTGAGCAGTTGTACTTACTGGAGTGTGAAGTAAAACACTAGGAGTGACTAGAGATAAAGGCTGAATCCTGACTGTGATGTGCCCGTGTGTTATTTACTTTCTTTTTTTTGTTTTTTTTTTTTCCGGCACTGGGAATTGAACTCATGACCTTGCGCTTGCCAGGCAGGCGCTATGCCACTGAGCTAAATCCCCAGGCCCTACTTTGTAGCTCTATAACCTTAGTCAATACTTTTTTTTTTTGAAACGGAGTCTTGGTACATAGGCCAGGCCTCTAATTTGTGATCCTCCTGCCTCAGCCTTCAGAGTGCTAGGATTATAGGCATGCACTACCACTCAGGCATAGTCAAAGCATTTTTTTAAAAAATCATATTTCACGTGGTTCAGCCAAATGTACACACATTTTGTTTTTCTGAACAAAAAAAGTCATACCTCACATGTTAGTTTACAGTTTATTTTTAGTTATGGACTTCTTCATATTTGGTGACACAGTTTTCAATACTGTGGAAGTAGTGCAGTGACCAAGAACGTGGAATGTAGTATGAGAGAGCTAGATTCAAGGCACACACCTGTAATCCCAGCGCTCTTGAAGCTGAGGCAGGAGGATCGTTGTGGGCTTGAGGCCAGCCTGGGTTACACAGTGAGTCTAAGGCCAACCTGAACTTCGTAGTGTTTGTAAAAAGATAAACATAATATGTTAAGTAGTGATTAGAAAAACAGAGCAAGACAGGGCAATGGAAGTGTTTTCTTGGGATTGCAGTTTTACATGAGGTGGCTGAGGAAGACCTCATTGAAAAGAAGACATTTGAGTAAAGACCTAAAGGAGGTAAGGGAATTCATTGTGCACATACCCGGAGGAAGAGCTTGTTGGCAGAGGAAAAAGCAAGGCTAAGGTCCTAAGGTCAGAGTAGGTGAGGGACCTTAAGGAACATGAAGAATTTCTTTGTGGCTGGACTGGAGAGAGA